CTGTGACTCTTAATAAGCAAGCACTCAGGTTTGTGCATATCACATACCTTCCATTTGACTGGTTAGCTAGGAGCAGGGCGTTGGGGGTGTTTTAAGCAAGCAGAAAAACCCTGGAACTGAAACTAAAGGCTCAGTCCCTGAAAGGCCATATACAGCCTTGTTACTGCCAGAGAGACACTTAGCCTAGCTGAACCTGTTGCCTCAACTTCAAAATAGAACAATCTCTTCCCTTTATGTAGAAGCTTCACAGATGGCAGCTCTTCTGCATATGCACCCCCTTTCATCTTCACAGGGAACCTGTGAAGAACGCAGGGCATGATGTAATTCCTCTCTATACTCAAGCTGAGGAAATGACTGCCCAGAGAAGTTAAGTGATTTGCCCAAGAATACTCAGCTAGTGAATGCCAGAAAGCTTTCCTAGGTCTAATAAGTCCCTTCCTACCTTGTCTTGGGTGGGAGACAAGTTGAGAATAGTGAGGACCCAGAAGAGAAAGTCTCTGGGGTTTTGTTGTTGTTTTGGTTGGTTTGTTTTTTGGGGTCTGGAGGGGTTGTTTTGGTTTGTTTGGATTTGGTTTTGGTTTGGTTTGGTTTTTAGTGTTTGTGTTGATTAGAGGTGATCCTCATGACCCATAAAGACAAGAACAATATGATCTGGGTCAAAGAAGGAAGGTCACTCAGGACATCTGTGACCCGGACAGGAACCCCCCCCTCCCCCCAGTCCCCCACCCTGGCCCACTCTCCTCCACCCCCGTGGCCCCACCATAGCTCACTCTCTGCCACCCCCTCTCCTCTCCTTTCAAAAGCATAATGAGTTTGATAAGAAATTGTCCCGTTAACAGGATTAGCCATGGAAATCTCCCATCCCCTCCCTTTCCCTCTGTAATACCCTCATCTCATGTCCTATAATTTTCTGCTGGTATCAGAGACTCCAGACCACCTCAGGGATATTAATACCTCCTTGTTCTTTGATCTTGTGACTTCTGATATGCTAGGATGCCACCACACACACACAGCTGCTGAGCCACCAGACTTGTGGGTAAATTACAGCAGGCCATAGGCCCTCTCCTCCTGAGTCAGCCACTCCTGGGGTTTCTTGTAGTCCTAGAGATAGTGATTATCTCCAATGGAGGAGCCAGAGAGGCAGGGCCACAGCTGGGGCAGAGAAATAATGGAACAATGTCTTCAATCCACCCTGTGGTTGTTCATCTTTATTGTCGGCTTGACTGGCTTTGAAATCGCCTAGGAGACACACTTCTGCTCATGTCTGTGAATGTATTTCCAAAGAGATTTAACTGAGGAGGGGAAACTCACCCTGAATTGGCAGGGGACAAAGCTTCCCATGGTCCAAAGTGAATAAAAGGGAAAGAAGAAAATGCCAAATTAAGCACCCACTTTCCTCTTCCTCTGCTTCCTGCTCCACTGAGATATGAGACCAGTCCCAGCCACATTCTCCTGCCAGCCACCTGCCACCCCGCTTTCCCCATGATGACGGACTTTATCCCCTTACACTATGAGCCCACAAAAAAATCCTCTTCCCTCAAGTTATATCTGCCAAGCATTTTTGTCCCAAGAACAAGGAAAGAAACCAGTATACAGTGTCAGTTACTATTCTGTTGCTGTGATAAGACGTTATGACCAAAGCCACTTACAAAAGAAAGCATTTAATTTTGACTTCAGGTTTCAAATGGGTAGTGCCCATGATGGCAGAGTGAAGGCAGAAGGCATGGTGGTGTGAACAGCTGACAGCAGGAAAGAGAGAGAGAGAGAGAGAGAGAGAGAGAGAGAGAGAGAGCACTGGGAACTGCTGGGTCTTTTGAAGCCTCAAACCCCACACCCAGTGACACACTGTCTTCAGTAAGGCCACGCCTCCTAATCCTTCAAGAATAATTCCACCAACAGGAGACTAAGTGTGCAAATATTTAGTATATTGGGCCATTCTCATTCAAATCACCATGCACCCTTTTCTTCAATTTCTACCTCATCCCTCACATGAGTCCCTAAGAAGGCTATAAGCAGAATACAGGACAAGGTTAGTTGGCAGCATGCATGAGGTGACCCAGCTTTAGATCTGGGCTTACTTCCTTGGCCTGGGACATACTTAGTGATTTACCTAACATCTCTGAGTCTTGTTTTTCTCATCTGTTCATTGGAGGGTAACACTGTCTGGTAAGGTCATAGTAGACATTCAGCCAAGGCTATTTACCTCCTCTGTTATTTCAGAACTGGAACTTCATAGGGGCAGGGACTTCAGATTTCCCAAAATACAGTGTCCCTAAACCCTTTTCTTTGCACCAACTCCCTCTAACCACATCCCTACAAGTCTCTGTCCCCTTACAGATGTTGAGGAAATGTGATGGCAAGCTCAACCAAAAGTGTTATTAGCAGAAATCTCAACCTATAGGGTATCAAATAAAAGAAGGTAACCAATGCCCCCCCAAGTCTTGGTGAGGACAGAGACGAGAGGAGTGCTGAGAAAGTGGTCAAGTCCACAGTAGTCCTGGCCCAGGGGCAAGAGGACCTTGAGGCCCAGCCTTGGGTCAACAGAGCATGTTTAAGGAGACACAGGAGGCTGAGGCATGCAGAGCTTAGAGGAAGTGGGGAAATGCCAGAGTCGGGACAGCAAGGCCAGAGCTGATTCAGTGCTGAGTAGGATATATTTTCATGTTCAATGGCACAGAAAGTGTCAGGGAATGAGAGGTGGGAAACTGTGCATGCCCAGTGAATGAGCCAGAATCCAACTGTTGTATCTTTAAGGCTGCTGGTGCCACTCTGGATGATGAGGGTACCCCCCAGGATCTAGTGAGACCAGTGTCTCTACTTCATAAATGTCACAGCAGGCTAAGCATGGCAACTAATGCCTGTAATCCCAGAACTCAAGAGGCTGAGGCAGGAGGTTATATTTGACTTGGAGGCTAGCCTGGGATATAAAGTGAGACCCTATCTCTAAATAAATAAATACTAGCAGAGATCTGAAATTAGCCCTTACTTGTGAGCCCAGCTCCACGTGAAGCCTTCACTTACCCTACACAGGTCCTTTTTGTGACACCCTGACATGGCCATCACCGTCAACTACTAAAGTCAATAAACAAACACAGGGCATCTGAGCCAGGAACCATGGGTAAAATGAGGCCTCTGCCTGAAGAAAGATGGAGTTCAGCAGTCCAGGTCAAATCCCAATAGGGCATCCCCCAGTCATGTCATCTTGGGCTTGCTTCTGAAGCTCCAAAATCCTGGGTTTCTTGTTACAGAACAGAGAGATACCCCAAGCCTCTGGGGACTTATAGAGAGGGACAATAGAGAGGAAGGCAACTTTAAGCAAGTTTCACTTTTTGTGGTTTGTTACCTGTGGACAACCAGCATCTGCCTGTCCCAGAGGTCCTGCTGACATTCATCAGAAGGTCAACAGCAGCCTGAGGCTATGTCACGATGCCAGGAGCATTCACTTCCCCTCAGCTTGTCATGTGGGAACTGTCTCACATCATCACAGAAAGGGTGAACACAGTAGAATATATTTTAGGAGAGAAAAAAAAAAACTCATGTGACTTGCATTACAGACTCTTGTCATAATTTTATTTTATTATTATTATCATTAATCTTTATTTATAAATCATATACATGTATGGTATAGGTAGAATCAGTTGCCATCCAGCTTCAGACTTCTACGGGGAGTAGGGGGCCTGCTTAGAACGCCTCCCCTCAGATAAAGGAAGACAACTACATTCTATAACACCATGATGGATGCATAGTGGAAACAGACCAATAAGAGAAATGTTCTCCTTCTCCTCTCCCACCCACTGACACCCAGGAAGACAAGACATCATGCAAAAACTGTAAAATTCCACACTAAGTGTCAGCTTCATGATGAAAGCCAGGTAAGGATTCAGTTACTCCAGCTGGAGGGGTGGAAGAGATAGCACCACACAGAGGCATGGAAAGGCTGTTTGGGAGCTGTCTGAACAAGATGCCCGAGAGTGCATAGAGACAGGAAGACAGTAGGAGTGCAGGACAACTGAGACCCAGCATGTGTGTATCTGAATCCTTTCGGTACGCCTGTCTTACTTTGAGATTTGGAAAGATACATGCAGGTAGGCCTGTACACAGTTCTGCCTTTGCTCAGGAGGTCCCTGGTGGGCCTGCCCAGCCGGGTGGGCGCTGCACATGATCATTCATGCAAATGCCAAAAGCCCCCCACTGTCAAAAGAAGAGAACTGTGAAGGTTCTGAGTAGAGGACTATGGGATGTATGAGTGATCTGAGACCAACAGGTCATGTGGTCACCATACGAAGTGGACATTGAGTGGAATCCCTTTCCTGTTGGTCGTGATTTTGACAGCATCACGGATGGAACAATCAAAGTTTGTCCCTAGGGCAAGTGCTTTGACTTGGGACCTCTCTAATCTCTGAATGGTACTGATACTAGCGCAATTAAGGATAAGGAAGAAGAGTCCAAGGGGTCAGGTAGCTGTGTGAGGCCATACAATGGAACCAAAGTCTATCTGACTTCAGCACCGAAGCCAAAGACTTACCACAGAGTAAAGAGGCCATGCTTCCTGCACTCATTCATCCATTCATTCATTTGATCCACAATATATTTTAGCGCCATCACAAAAGCAGCATGACTGCAGCTGAGGCCAACGCGGGGACAGGAGATGGCCCCTGCCATCCTGTGGAGTCCATAGTTGTCCACTGACACACATCAGGCTTTCCCGGCTGCTTAGCTAAGGCTATGGTGGGAACTAGGAAACAGAGACATGTGACCCCATGCAGTTGTTTTTGTGCTTTAGAGGCTCCACCCACTGTCATAGCTCGTCCCTGCAGGGTATAGACACTGGAGACTATGAAGCAGGCAGACCCTAGCGTGGCAAATTGGGAAACATATAGACAGAAAGGCAGGAGGTCTCCCTGCCACCATAGTGCCCTTGAAACAACACAGGGACTGATGTTCAATGGCTTCCAGAGGTCATGATGCTGTGTTCCTCTTAACTGCATGCCCTCTGGAGCATGGTCAAACCAGTGTTCTCATTCCCAGTCATTGTCACCAACACACCAAAGAAAGTTAATGAAGCAGAGGCAGAAATGAGCACCCGGAAGGCACAATACTGCAGCAGCCACCGCTTCCTGCATGGGGGTGAGAGGTGGTTATTCCCACTCCAGAGGGACTGAGGGTCCAGTAGGGGTTGAGAGTCCTCATGACACTTGCCTCTAGCTCACAGGGCTAAAAAAATGACAGAGCCCACTCTTCCGGCTGTTTCTAGTACTTCCTTGGCTATATGATCTGGTCAGAATTCTCCTCCATGACCAGGCATGGTGGGGGTTCAGCTGAGCAATCTATGACATCTTGAAGAAGCCTGCATTGTGTCTGGGAATCTGAAAATGACTGAGAGACAGTGGTCAGGAACCACTGAGATCTGTCTGGGTCCCAGGGTGTAACTGTCTGGACAGGGAGAAGGGGTTCTACTTAGCTGGACTCTCAGAGAGGACTATGTGGACGCAAGAGGGAATGATGCCTTGGAAGTACTTGGTAAAAGTCTGGCTTTGATTTGGTCAGCACTAATCTTTGAGATTTTGCATAAGTTGTAGTGATTGGAATGATAGCTGTCCCCCATGGTCTCCACAAGTTGATGGTGCTATCTGATGAGGCAGAGGGGGCGTGACCTCGCTAGAGGAAGTATATCACTCAGGGTGGGCTTTGAGATTTCAAAGACTTGCACCATCCCTGGTTTCCTCTCTGGCTTCCGGCTCATGGTTTAAAATGTGAACTCCCAGCTTCCTACTCCAGACACCATGCCTGCCTACTCCAGACACCATAGAGATGGTGATGGGCTCTGATCCCTCTGGAGCCATAAACCCAAAGAAACCTTCCTGCTATGAGTTGCCTTGGTCATGGTATTTCAGCACAGCAATAGAAAGCTGATAGGCTGCCTGCTGTAGGCAGCAGCAAGGATCAAATAAGATAAGAAGTAGTGTATTGGCTGTGGCCAGCACCCATTCCATTACATTGGGGCTGTACTACAGAGCTAGACCCACCCATCCTGACCCTGGGGGCAAACATTCTAGGGAGCGCTCAGTCTCCGGTGAACCAGTCTTGGCCCTGTGCAGAGATGTGGGAGGGCCTCCTGGAGGCAGAGGACCCAGGTCTTAGACTATCAGGGTGAACTATGATGAGCAGTGGTGGGAGGATCCTACATAGCACCAAGCCTGGGAGGGGGAGAACTGGCACAATGAAGAACCAGAGATGGGGGACTATCCTGCTAAGGATTCTTATCTATATCAACAACCATAGGAAGCCATGGCAGTTCTCAGGGTGAGCACATGTCCACTTTAACAGTACCTGGCCACAGCAAAGAGAATGGATTAGATGCCACCATCAGCAGGAAGGCACAAAGTAGGTTCTTGGTATGTGACAGCCATAGCCCTTACAATGCTACCTGGGGAAGGGCAGAGCCTGCCCACCGAGGATGGAATCAGGGATCAGGGCCCATGGGTGCCAGGCCAGGGGTAGGAATAGAACCCCTCTTCTCCTTTCTTACCCACCTAGAATTGGTCCTTCAGAGAAGGGGCAGGGGACAGAGGGCAGAGCCAAACTCTGTAGGTAAGGGCCTGCAGACACCTCCTCGGAGGGACAATGGGCTGTCCTTCCTGGCTGCCCTTGGCTATGAGAGTTCTATGGGATGGAGGCAGCTTCTCCCATTGCGATAGCAGCAGATCCCATTAAGCTCCAAGAGTCTCTGGCACATGGGAACACACAGAGCAAGGAGCTATAAAGCCCCTGGCAGGGAGCATAAAAGTAGGGTGAAGACTCTGGGAGGTTGGAGGCTGTCGCCCCTGGCTGGGCTCTGCCATGTGCAGCGGATGAGGACGAGGAATAAAGAGGCTTATTTCAGCACCCTGTTATTATGGCATCTTGTTTTCATAGTTTGTTCAACAGACCTCTCTCCCGCTCCCCCTCCCCATGAGCTCTCTCTCTGTCTCTCTCTTTTTCATCTTCCTCTCTCAGCAAATCCATTTAAATGCAATTCTATTCTTAAAGCGCCCCTCTCATGCATGTCTAATGAATGTCAGGGAGCCGCTATTACAATGGGGCCGAGGAGGGTCCAATCCGCACTGTGTATACAAGTCATTTGAAAGGAAGCCTGGGAGCGCTCCAGTTTTATTACAGCATAATTAGAAATAAAATCTTGTTGCAATAGGAGAGTGAGAGATGTGTGCTAATCCTGGTGCAGAGAAAAGGATTCTGGGAAAAAGAAGAAACTGGTTGCTGTATCTGCCCCTTCCAAGGTTGTGTCTTGGCTGTCCCTCTTCAGACCTGGTCTTCAGGCCCTGGGGTCCCCCCACACTCCACACTACCTAGGGCTTTCCACAGGACAGTGCTGAACACTTCTGTAAGTCAGTGGCCCAAGTGGCAGTCTGCCTGGATCCTAGTGAAGTAGATCCAGCCCATCCCCACCCAACCCCTGCCACCAGTAAGTCCCCCCACACCGTATATACTTAAAGACCACTCTGTAAACAGTGAGGTGACAGTGGTAGTTGATAAAGCCTGGAGTTGGAGGCTGAGACCCAGGTCTTGATCTGAACTCTCCACTTCCCAGAGTCACCAGAGATCATTTGCTTAATGTACTGAACACCTGTTGTCTTTCAGCCACCATGTTAGGCACATTCATTAGTTCATTTACTTCTAACAGGGAATGGATTCAGAAAGTTCAAGAACTTCCTGTACCTTCCAGCTAGAAAGTGGAGCATGGTTTGAGGCCCAGCCCTTTGACTCCTGTCACTGCTGTTGATGTACTGGGTCCTTCAGTGACATTTGCTATTGGACCCAAAAGCAATGATGATGAGCATGTGGAAGCTGACACGTCCCTCTGACATGGGAACCAGGAGTTTGTGAGTGATGCCAGCACCATCACAGGGCTGTTATATCTGTGTGGAAAGTGACTGTCACCCAGGATTGTAAAGATTAGCTCCCGCCTTCTGCAGCCCTTGAATAGAGATGGAGTTTGAAGAGTTGAGCCTGCCATCCTTGCCTGGACAGTGGAGGGCAGACCTTTAAATCCCTAGGAAAGTGAGACTTGGAAGACACATTCCAGAGCAACTGGTATCTTTCTTCACTCAGCAGTCAGGGAAACTGAGGCCCACGAGGTTAATGAAAGCTTGTCTGAACTCACACAGCCAACTAGAAGCCAGGTTTCTCATCTCCCAGCCCAGTGGGCTCAATTCTGCCGTGCCTGTCTCCACATAAGTGCTTCCCATAGGTGACATCCCTTAGTGCTGGACACTTTTCCAGCAAAGTGTCCTTATTTCCCAGAGCTCCATGGCTAAATGGAAGGTCAGCCAAACCCAGAGCTAGGCTTGCCTCAGGGCTGGATGCAACAGGAGACAAGACAGCTCAGGGGATAGCTCTGTGACCCTCTAGCCTTGCAGGAGAAACTGAGTCTGAATGAGACCCTGTAGGGACTGTGTCAGCATTCCTTCATAGTCAGCCACGTGCTCCCTTAGCACAGAAGCAGTACAGGTGTAATGAAAGAGGTTGCTCCCCCGACACCCCCACCCCACCACACTGCCTGGGAATACTTGGTGTTGTTGCTTTGCAGCCCCCATTATGGGCCTGGCATGCCCAGCCTGGTCTTGCACTTAAGATAAATATGAGACCGTGGTGTCTACACTAGTCCTCGGGATCCCCTGGTCCAGAAAGCAGGGATCCAGGCCTGCTCACTTCCACATGGAGACTGTTCCTCTGCAAAACCCTCTCTAGCCAGAACCTGCCAGCTCCAACTCCAGTTTCTGGCTGTGTATGTCCCACCTGCATTTGCATGACCCAAGACCTACCTCTTATCCACATAGTCTCTTCCTGCCTCAGGTACATTCACTGAGGCTGCTCAATTCAATAGGACAGCAGATAGGTCTCTCCTGACACCTCCACTTTGGTCCAGACTATACTCTGCCTCACTTTCCTGTGCAGTGATGGACAAGAGAATGCAAATAAGGCCCTGCCTATGCTAAAAGGCCACCCCCAGGGAGGGTCCCTGCCCCCCTTGTCTTGAGTTATTGCTTTCTCTTTCACTGCCTCTCCTTTTCTCTGGGGTTCTGACCACCATACACATGGGAGGACTCAAACCGTGTTCTCCACCCATCCTCTGTCTTCACTCTCTAAACCCAACCTACAGAGTCTGATTCAGGATGTGTGCCCCCCCCCCCCCGGCACCATGGTATGTACATTCATGGAGCAGCCCAGTGCCCTGAAAGTCAGTGCCAGAAGAGTCTCTTGGAAGTGACTTACCTGTACAGGTGAGGTAGGTAGGTGTAGGTGTTCTTGGGCCACCAAAGCATGATGGTACAGACCCTAACTAACTTATTCTCATGGTTTTAGTGTCTGGGAACCCAAGATCATGGACACATGTGCCTCAGGGTGTCTTTCTTGCTGGGCTTGTCACAAATTAAAAACTTTGGGGCTGGAGTGATGGCTCAGAAGTTAAGAGCACTGGCTGCTCTTCTGGAATTCCTGAGTTCAATTCCCAGCAACCACATGGTGGCTCACAACCATCTGTAATGAGATCTGGTGCCCTCTTCTGGCCTGCAGGGATACATGCAGACAGAATACTATATATAATAAATAAATCTTAAAAAACAAACAAACAAAAATAACCAAACTGGGGACTGGAGAGATGGCTCAGAGGTTAAAAGCACTGACTGCTCTTCCAGAGGTCCTAAGTTCAATTCCCAGCAACCACATGGTGACTCACTACCATCCATTATGAGATCTGGTGCCCTCTTCTGGTGTGCAGATATACATGGAAGCAGAATGTTGTATACATAATAAATAAATAAAATCTTTTAAAAAATAACCAAACCTCTGTGAGCTCAACCTGGATCCCTTGCCAAGTCAAGATGCACAGCACCCATGAGGGATACTCAAGTGGCTGCCTTGGGTACAGGTCTGAAGCACCTCCTGTCACATCCACGAGACAGAGGATTCCCAGGCCTCTCTCTACCTTGAGCATCAGGTTCAGGCCTTAGAGGTACAACCATGCTGGAAAAGGGCACCACCATCATTCTGCAGCATTTAAGCTTGATTTTACTTCACAAAACTGAAACTCTGTGCTCACTAACTACAGCACCCCTTTCCCTTTCTCC